GTTGTTTCAATTTTTTACTTCTTTGGGATGTTTCGTTTGGAAAATTGTTGTTTTTTACGCGCGAAGAAGAACGATAAGAAATGATTTTTAAATTATTTAAAATGAATTGAAAGAAAAAAAGATAAATGTGTATAGCGCGAGTAAAAATTTATTATTTTGGAAGGAAATATATGCATAGTATTATTTTATTTGATTAAATTTTTATTCTAATTTAAATGTAAACCCTCTATTCCATTAGACCAATTTCAGAATTTTTTTTTTTACTAGCATTCCTCTTGATAAGCTGCCTACCAAGTTATGACAATTTCCAGTCCCAGTAATCTCGTAAACTTTATTTCTCGTTTTATTGCTCTACCCTCGTTTTATTATTATTCCATCTTAATTCATTATACTACAGACTAAAGTTTGTACATCTTGAAATATTTCTTCTTCCTATTTTATTTCAATTACACTGCGCGATTATTCATAAAAACATTAATTACAAATAAAACGAACGATTTCTCTAAAAATCCTCCTAATTAAAATTTCAAAAATGTATTCCAAAATTTCTAAAGATCTTCTAATTAGAATAATCAGAGTACTTCTTCTTCTTCGTATTTATCCATTTCGAATATTTCATTATTCCATCAGTATATAATCCTAATAATTTTCGATGAAATTCAATGTCTTCTCCCTCTTGCACAAAACTTGCATAAATCCAGATGATTCTCTTAATCGAGAATCGTATCGAATGCAAAGATGTGTTTGCAAAGAATCGAAAATAATATTTTTCCGAGTATCCATCGACCCTGTTCGAAAATTTCACGAGACCTCCGGGCGTGGATATCGAGTTGAGACGAATTAGTCGTACGACTGAATACAAATGGGTTCATTTGCAAAGAAAAGAAGAGAGAAAGAGAGAGAGAGAGATGAGGGGGGAGGAGACAAACAGCGAGCCAAACCTCATTATTATTCCTCTCTCTCCCTCGGCTTCTTTCACCCTCGTCCTTTCGAAATCAAAATCCTACACTTACACACTCGAGTCTTCTTGACAAACGGTTTAGAAGAGAACCGTAAATTTAATCGATGTCTGTAATTATGTAAAGTGAAATTGTGGGTGTTGAAGGATTATTTCGATTCAATTTTCTCAACCGATCGTTCGTTTCAGTGGTTTCTCCTTCATGGTCATAGTAATTGTATTAATTACAATATATTAGTCACCATTCGAAGTACCATTCAACCTACGTTCTCTCAGTGCACATAATTGTTCATGCTACTTATATTAAAGAAAAAAAATGTGATTATTCATTAACACAATATATATATATATTTATTACGTATTAGACGATTGTATAAGATGGCTGACTTTTTTAAAAATATTTTAAAAACTGCTCGAATTGAATCTTTATATTATTGATACTAATTAATTATCAGAGATTTTAATATTAAAATTATATTTGAAAATCTAAAATTATATTTGAAATTCATATGTATAAAATTGCATGCGTGATTGTGAAACATCAGCCATCTCATGCGTTCAACAGTTTAACAATATGATACTTGCTTATAATACGTGATCATCATTTTACATTATCCTTTATTGCAAACGAAGCCTAATTAAAATAAACAATAAAATTAATTTTTAATCACAATAGTGAAAAAAAAAAGACTCCTGCTTGAGGGAAGAAAATACGAGAATGTTAAACAAAAGGATTGCCAATAAAGAAACGAAGATAAAAAAGTCAGTTTCTACCTACGCCAATGTTGGAAGATATATTAATAAAAAAAGGAGAAAGACATGTCAGTGCCACACGGATAAAATATCTAAAAATCAAAAAAAAAAAAAAAAAAAGTAAAAACTCGTGTAGAAAGGAAAAAAGAAGAAAA